CCAGGGTGGATAGTAAACTGGCCCTTATGAGCCTCTGTCATCACCTCCTCAGTCAAAGGACCTCGAGGAACCACAATCCTCTTCTGGAAAGTCAACAGACCATCCTCATTCCAAAACACGTCGTCCTGGTTCCTTACGTAATCTAGGCACTCTCTCTGCACTTGCACCTCTTTGATCTTTTCCATGAGCTCAATTCCAACTTGCACGGTTTTCATCTCGAGAAGTGCACCCCCAATAAAGAGGTCACTAACAGTTCTCGAGACTTCCCAATATAAACAGAATCGTCATTCGATTCTCTGGGATCACCAGTCACTCTATCAATAGAGGTGACCTTACCCCACAAACTCTATTCCTCACAATAACTTGGGTGAGTTTAAGTCCTATTCCATGACTCTACCTCGACTTGACTTACAATTTCTATAATTCATACTTTCAAATAACATCATATTACTTTCGCAGTACAAAATTATATTCATTTCAGTCAATACATGTTAATAGATATACCAATCCACATAGTAACGTACCTTGGTTCACGTACACCTGCAAAATTTTTCAAATCAAATAACATAATAAATAAATACTCTATGCAACATCATACCTCAATCTCCATGGCATTTGCAAAATCGAAAGTCAATAAAGGATGGTACAACATCGATGTATTAACACAGTTCATGGCATTTACTTCATGCTTAGTACTATTCGTGGTGTTCACACGCAATCTACATATGAAGCAGATCAATAATTAACATACGAACCTCGAGTCATGGAGACCACTCAACCCAAAAACTCCTTGTACATGCACTAGACTCGCGTATACAAGATCGCGCATGGCTTTGCCATTAAGTCCAAGTGTTACGCACTTAATTTTTTTTTTCTTGAAGAGAATTTTCCATTCTCAAACAAGGAACCATCACAATAATGTAATGGCATAAGGCATCTTACCTTACAACAAAAATGACCGGTGCTCCCCATGGAGACACGCTCATTCGAATGAAGTCTTTCGCCAAAAGATCTCCAATGAGCTTCTTTAGCTCAGCCAACTTCGGTGGCGACATCCGATATGAAGCTAATGAAATAGGCCCCACACCAGGCAACAATTCTATGGAGAATTCTATCTCTCACTGTGGCAGAAAATCAGGAATCTCCTCAGGAAATACTTCGAGGAATCCCTTCACCACAGGAATGCCAGCGATATCCTCATAAGACCCACACACCAAACCTCCCAACATGACATAACCGAATGTCCCTGCTCGCAAGGCTCTCCTAGCCTATAGCAATGAAATAAAAGGCGAGTAACTGGTTGTGGAATCATCCGGAGACATCACAACTCGCTTGGCGCAACAGTCAATCTTCACACAATTTCTGGACAACCAATCCATGCCCAGAATAATCATCAGATTGGCCATCGACAATCCAATTAGATCTATCGAGTAATCTCATCCATCCCACTGAAACACGACATCTCGATGAAAAGTGGTAGAATCACACTTTTCTTCGGTGGCGGTGGTCACCCGCAACAGTGGAGAAAGCACAGACATGGGCAACTCAAGCTCCACAGCAATCGGGGTAGCGATGAAGGAATGCGTAGCCCCAGAGTCAAACAAGACATCAACAGAAGATCCACCAATGGAGACAGTACCTCTGACAAGGCTCGGAGCGTGGTCCGACTGCTGGCGATCCAGTGTATAAACACGCCCAGTGGCAGTGGCACAACAGGTGCCGCTGTAGGTTGAAGGGGAACCATATGAAATGGAACTGCCTGTATCGCCGCTATAATGACCCTAACTGGTAAATCTTAATTAGAGATTTAATTTAAGGATTTAAATGTCATAATTAGATTCAGAGTGTGATTTCGAGTATTTTGACTGTAATCATGACTAGGTTATGAACAATGCGTTCTGTCAGGTGATCTGCATTCTTGTGAATTAACCGATAGAGCTAAAATGAGTAAAATTATTTTAGAGACATAATTTGACAATTCTGACGCCAAATATGAGTTCAGAATAAAAAATTGTATAGTCTGGCACTTTCCTTGAAAATCACGTGAATAGTGTTTTCTACCCGGTATTTGCTACTGCTGTTAAGCAACCGGTAGCGTTCAGAAACAAATAATTGATGAAATAAGAATAAGAAAGTCCAATATATGCCTTACAAGTTAAAATAGGCCCAATAATGATACCAACATATAAATCAGCTAAGCTCCAGCCTCCTGCTGCTAGAGGTATCAACCCCTGCATTACCTGAACTTGAAATATGTGCCCCAAACGTGGGGTGAGATCTCTAAATAGAAATATCAGTAAGACAAGGGGTCCTCAATGATCTTCCACCCCAAGCTCACTTACATGTGCAATATAAGTTCAAAAGCAGTTTAACAGTATCAGTTCCAAAACCCAATGCAGTGCAATAGATATTCATGTCATGTGTGTCATAACTATTCTACTGGCCAGAGAAGTGCAGGAATACGTCTATTATCCACACAGTACGCGCCCATGCCGTACCTTCCCACAGGATCACATCTCGTCTAGGCGAAAACCACATGCATATCATAAAGGCACTCGCATATACAACTCAATAGCATTTCAACAAAACAATACATGAAAATAACATCATGCATATAACCATCCCCCCATGGGACATGGTGGAACCAACAATGGCTAAACCGAGGACACGAAAGCTTACCTTGCAAGCTAACTATCCAAGCCAAGAGTCCACATAAGCTTAAAGTCCACACACAGCAGAATCACAATCTGTTTTGGACCAGTAATCAAATCAATATTCAAACACAACAAGCATAAGACATAAAGACAACGCCTTTCCTTTACGTTTCAAGTCTTTAGACTTCTCACAAAGTCATAAGCCCTTAACCCCTTAGGTTCTGACTTATATTAAGTAATACAGAAGTTCAACTTTATCAATCTAGGGTCCACAAACCTATAACTCAGTTCTGTATGAACAGTACCGTTACTGTTCTCGAAAACCCAAAATATCCGGATATATGTCGGGGTCATATCCGGATATCCATATTCGGATATCACAAGACCCCATATCCGGATATCAATATCCGGATATTTCGCGACAGAATGCAGTTTCTGCATTTCGCGAGATATCACTTCCAAGGTTGGGTTTTTAACCAATTACTACGTCCAAGCATGCATTTTTATTCTCTTTTAAGTTCATATACAGGTTGGTTACTTGTTTAACTCATTAACATGCCAAGACTCAACCTTTAAACCAAGAAAACTCATGATCAAGGTAGGTGAACTTACCCAAGGCTTAGAACAGAGCAACAATGGCTCATAGAGTGTCAATCAGCCCTTAAGGTTTTATTTCCACAAGGACACAAAAATGACAAGCAAGCAAGGTTCTTTCTCACCAAAGGTGGCTTCTTGAAGTTCAAACCACCACAAGAATGTCTCTCACACCACAAAGCCAAAGAGGTCAGCCCCAACACGCACTTACACAGACCCACCAACTCAGAAATGAAGTGTTTCCTCACTCACCATGCAAGCTCTCACACACAAGGTATTTGGTGAAGAAGCAAAGACCAAAGGTGCTCACTTTGGCTCAGAAGAGGTGGAGGAAGAAGGTGACAAGGTGGCTGATGGAGTTTCAGCAAAGGAGGCACATAGGGAGTATGAAAAATGCCCTAGGAATCTGTGTCATCAAGTATATATAGGCGGTTTAAGTTAAAACACAATGTATTAGCTCTAATTGTTACGCTTAACATTTTAATCCCAAATTTAGGATTCTGAACCTACTCATTTTTCTAAGATTTTTCATATTTTTATTTTATTTTTCGCAGCACCTTTCCAGTACGCGCTTTTACATAGTCAGTGTCAGTTCTGGCACCAGTTATCATTATTTCGACTTGAAACTTGTTTTACTAGTCCTATATATTATTCTAGTGACATATACACACTTTTCATAATTTTCCAGGATACTTCATCGGTACGCATTTATACTGTGGAGCAGAACCGATATCTGCTCTTTTCATCAGAAAAATGACTTTCAGCATTCTTAATCACTTACTATAATTATTTAAGCCTTCTCATAATTATAAGGGTCAATTATGGAATTATTTCCTAATTTTCATATTTATTTAATTAATTTCCTAAATTAACGGTGCGGGTTCTTACATTACTTGTATTTTTTTCAATTGGATTTTCCATGTAAATCTTGTGTGTCACTTCAAATGGGTATTCGTTGATTTCTTGATCGGTGGAATTAAGATTGTAAAGAACCAATTCAAATCAAAAGCTTAGACTTTTGGCTGAGAGTCTTTTTAATGATTTATATTATTCTCTCAACACACTCTTCGCACAAGAGCCTATTGGGCTTGAAGAGTGAATAATGCATAGGCCCATTTACATGTGCTAAAAAATTCTATAAGACTTAATTAATTATTAATTAAATGAGGTGCTGTGAGGATCGAACCATGACACCAAGCTCTGGTACCATATAAAGAACCAATTTAACTCAAAAGTTTATATTATTCTCTTAACAAAATGAAAGTTAATTATACCGTTGGTGTTTAGAAAAGTAAGTGGTTCAACAAGTGATTATTTAGTTAGTTACCATTACAATTGCACGAAGAGACTCCCACTTACATTTACATGGCCAATTGGTGTGATTAAAGTGTCTTGAAATTACTGTTTGTCTCGATTCTATTTTATCTGTACGATCATCTGTTACCTAACAAGTTGAACCAATTACCAAGTCATCAACCCATCCGAGTTTAACATTATTGATGGCAATAGTAGGCTGACAAATGATAGAGCCATATAAGGAAATGTTATTCATTTGTTTGGCGTTGCAGCAAACTGCAGTACTGATATCGATGCTAATGCGAGAACAGATAAATCCTTCATGTTGGGAACACTAATGAGGTGAAAGATCTAGTACAATAGCTAATTTAAGAAATAGTAGGATTCAACATTTGGTTACTTTTACCAAGTATCTTTGCTACTAAAATGTTCAAGAGTAGCATAAGATAAATTCCATCAAATCTGGAGAAACTTTTTGAACCACTCAGCTGATTTCTTAGGATATCTTCTCAATCCATTCTCATAATCAACATAAACAATTCCAAATCGAACAGTATACCCATCTGTCCATTCAAAGTTGTCCAACAATGACCATGCAAAGTAGCCTTTGACATTGACACCATTCCTGCAAATTCAATTTGTTTTAGTTTAAATCACAAATTCCTAAAACAAAGGCATAGACTAACTAAATGTGGAACACTGCATAAGAAACTCACTGTATGGCACTAAGAACATAGGAAAGATGGTTACTGATATAGTCTATTCTCATGTTGTCCTCAAGTGATTTTGTACTGTCATTAAGTTCATCAACCCCTGTGTTTGTTGGAGACATTTGATATGTGAAGATGAAAACATAAACATTGTTTGGTAAAAGAGATGGTAGCTTGGCTGAATTATAGACAAACTCTTATTGGTAGAAACTTACCATTTTCTGTTATGTAAATGACTGGATTGTTAAACTTTTCCTTCGTGTAGAGTAAAAGATCTTGAATTCCTCTAGGGTAGATGTATAACCAGTCTGAGGCAGCCTGAAAATTTCACTCTTTCTCAAATGAATTGCTTTCTGAAAAATTCACTTATTTTTGTGGAAGGTAAATATTGACAATGAAGCCAAACCTATTTTTGCTTAGTTTTCTAGCTAAACAAAGGGCCGACCCAGTTCAAACCCACTGCGTGAGTGTTTGGGGAAGGGCAAATACAAATCAAGCCTTACCCTTGCTTTGCAAGGAGGCCGAGTCGAACCCAGGACCTTGGACACCACAGCAAGCAAGCTTACCACTGAGCCAAGCCGGCCCTTCAGTTTTCTAGCTAAACAATGAAATTAAAATTCTATTATTAACTGAATGTGTTTAGCAGTTATCCCAAAATATGCATTTACCTTTGGACCAATCTGAACTCCATCTCTCGTTGCTGATGCAACAATTAAGATCTCAAGTAAGCAAATGCATTCTAAATATAAGAAAGATCAAACTGAAACCAAAAAATATATTTCACTTATTGTGTCTTACTTGTGAGAATAGCACAAGCATCTGAAAAAATAGTTTGGTTTTCACTTGTACAAGGGACATTGGATGCATAATTTGCGGTGTAATAGTTAAGTCCTATGAAATCAAAAGATCCTTTAACCATCAAGGACTGCTCCCTTGAAAACTTTGGCAATCTTCCACCAGCATTATCAACCATTTCAGCAGGGTATGATCCAGAATTCAGTGGCTCCATAAACCTCGGAAGTCAGGAAATAATTTGAGTTAGGTCCGTTTATCCATTAGGCATGTTACAAGAAAAATATTATGATGTATTATATTAAGTCCACATAAACCATAACCACCGCAATTAATGTGAAGCCAAAAGAAGAATAAGTAGGAAAAATTACCAGTCATATAGGAAAGCAAGGGCCCTAGATGCTGCTTCTATATCTGCCTTTGACTGGGAAAGTGGCACTACCCATGGAGAGTTCAATGTTATCCCAATTTGTGCCTTTTGATAATTCTAAATGAAATAAAGCCACTCTTAGTTAAATTTATCTCTACCAATTTACCAACAACTAATTTGATGACTCTCCCTTCAGTTTGTTCTAATCTGTAGTGCATTACAAATATGGTTTATGTTGGAAAGCAATCTCATGATCATGTCATGTGAACAATCTCAATCATTTATTGACATATCAACAGACACAATTTTGATAGCAAAGCTCGTAAAACAAAAAAGAGAAAATAGCTATTTTAATTACTAACCGTTGATCTATTAATGAATGGTTGAAATATACTCTTGAGATATATAAAACCATTAATTTAACTTCACCCACCAACTTAAGTTTTTGGGTTGAATTAGTTCTTTACATGGTATCAGAGTCTCGTGTCCCGGGTTCAATCCTCGCCGCCCCCCACTTTCTTTCAAGTGGAATTTATTTGTTCGCACAGGTAGATGGGCCTGTGCATTGTCCACACTTCGAGCCCAATGGGCTCTCTTGTGAGGGGACGTGTTGAGATATATAAAACCATTAATTTAACCTCACCCACTAGCTTAAGTTTTTGGGTTGAATTGGTTCTTTACATATACCATCTTGAAAATTATGGGGGTTGTAGTTAATTTTTCCTTTTTCAGCTTTCTGTTTGGCTATATATTGTGCACTGGTTGTTTGAATAAAATCAAAAGACTCAATATATTCTCCATACTCTAATTATAGTTTATGTAGTAACCTGGTACTTGTTCCTATAGACTTTGACAGCAGCTGCATGAGCAAGAATCTGGTGGTGAGTGACCATGTAGGGCTCAGTACTTGAATCCCCTGCACTGCAGTTCAAAGGCAACCACTTGGAGCATCTTCCTGGTGCAAATAATCCATTTGCATAACCCTGAGTAGTGAAGGTGAGTGGCTCATTTAAAGTAATCCAGTGCTTAACTCTATCACCAAATTCTCTGTAGCACAGCTCAGCATAGTCTGCAAAGTCCTTCCTGATGACAGATTTTACATCATTTGCATGGGAATTAAGGGGAGCCTATGTGTATATTATTTATAAGGTTTGATAAGAAAACTACTCACACAATACTTTGGCTCAGAAAACCACCATATTCATCTTCAAGGGCTTGAGGGAGATCCCAATGAAATAGAGTTACAAAGGGCTGCAAACCTGTGGTTATAGGATAGACAAGTCCTTTGTCAACAGTGAGAAAATATTGGACTTGGGTTGCATATATATGCAACAGAAAGATTGAAACATACCATTTGTTAGGATTTCATTGATAAGATTGTTGTAATATGTGATGCCTTCTCTGTTTACCCCTCCCCTCAAGTTTCCACCTAGACCAAGTATATGACCAATGTTAAATCATTTTTATGTCAATTTATGGTCCACGTTCATACAAAATATACTCATTAATATGTAAGTTATATGTTATCATAACTAGAAAGCAATTAAATTGAGGATCAGAAGAGTAAATGGTGTTGAATATTCCTCCTCACCAGGTAGAACCCTGGACCATGAGATGGAGAATCTGTATGCATCAAATCCTATGTCCTTCATTATACTCACATCTTCCTGCCAAATTGTTTCCTCAAACATTTCAGAGAAATAGTGAACATTAAACATCATTCAGAAAAAAAATAAATAAATAAATATTTCATATACTTGTTTAAAAGAATGAGAAGTGCCTTATAGCGATGGTAATAATCAACAGCAAGGACTCCACTACTGTGGTCCTTTATCTTATCTGATGAAAAATTCAGACATAAGTGCTTTTCAAATTTTCAAACTAATAGCCACTTGAAATTTTATTTGGTATCATAGTTGATAAGGTGATGCCAAAACCAAGTTAAAATGCTAAGAACTTAATCAGGTAAAGAATAAAAGCACTAAAAATTTAGAACCTAAGTATGGACCTGTGCAAAGTTTCGTTAATTTCTTAACTATTATATTGCTTGTTTCGTTGCTTCATTTAACAATGCAGCACCATGAAGTTTGTTTATTGGTTAGCAGCACCTTCTTTCTTCAATTCGAATATTCAGTAGGTAACATGAGCTCCAGAAAACAATGTAAGACAATTGTAAAACAATCATTTCACATAAAAGCTTAAGCTGGTAAACGATGGCTTTCAATGGTTTTTTTATTATATCTTTCTAACACATCCTCTCTCTCACTCAAGAGCCTTTAGACTTAAAGCGTTTGTGCTGTCTTAATTCTACTAAAAAGTAGGGAGCCGTAAAAATCGAACTAATGACCATTTAGCCACGGAGACCATGATACCATGTAAAACAACCATTTTACCTAAAAACTTAAGCTAATAAGTAATGACTCTCAATAGTTTTATTTTATATCTCTCTAACAACAATCTTCCCAAAAACTAAATCATTTGTCTAAGATGATCAAAGCCCAAGTTCAATTTAAATAAGAAAACTTGTAATTTTACATCCTAATGGAATAAATTCCTTGCTCTCAGCAATGAGAAAAGAGAAATAGGGAGCAGTGGTAGTTTACACAAGTCATAAGAGGACTACTAACTTTGAGAAACTCAGAACAAGAAGAAGCAAAAAGAAAAGAAATATAATGGATGATGGCCACCATTGTTAAGGTGAAAATGAGCCAAGTGTGACAGGTAGCATTAATCCAAATTTAGAAAGTGATAGGGGAACCTCTTTACCTGGATGTCTCTGAGTGAAAGTGTCCCATATACTTAGTCCCTTGCCCCCTTCGTTTGCTGCACCTTCATACTTGACACACCATCCAATCACATAAGAAATAAATCAAATATTTAACTTTTTTGGTTTTCCACCATAAAATGTTCTGTTACAAGATAGCTAGACAAAACATAAACCTGGTAAGAAGATGATGCTGTCCCAAATAAGAAATCCACAGGAAAATTGCTACGGTTAAGAGAATCCACTAACTCAACCAGCAAAATGAAGAAAAACACTATAAATGAAAAGCCTTCAGCTCTCATGGTCTCTCTTTCTGACTCTTTTAACATAAATTGATTGTGAAATGATCCACCCTTATATATATAGGTCATAGCACATTATTGAATGAAACATTTTTTAAACGTAAAAAATATAATGCTTCACTAGTGAAAATCCATATTCTATATCTTGCAAGGTTCAATTACTAGAAGAAAAAAAAAAAAAAATTGGAACTAGCTACCTCTGATCTATTTCACTTTGCCTTTTCTCATGTTCTTTTTCCTCACTCCTATTTGTAGGTGGACATGCTTTGAAAGGGCTAATGTTTCGAAACATCAATTATACAATGACCAACAATATGAAAGGATAAAAAAACATAAACTAAAATAAAAATGCCAGATTAATTTAGTTTAATATGGAAGATTTCGTGAAACTAAGTTATTTATAAGAAAAATATATATAAATTTTTTAAATGAAAACCTTAACTTGTTTGCACCTATGAAATTAATTTTTTTAAATGAAAACCTTAACTTGTTTGCACCTATGAAATTAATAATGACTTGGAATGCTCTACATTGCCCTTTTACAGTTTGATAATATCTTAGCGGAGAAGGTTATAGTTAATACCTCTTTTTCTTACTACTTGTTACTACTAAATCTTAATCGTTGATTTCTGTCAATCTAATAGTTGTAATTTATTGGGTCATACTTATTAATTAATTAATAATTTTCAATAAATTATAACCATTAGATTGACGGAAATCATCGGTTAAGATTTGGTGGGCATGTTTGGTGCATAGTATAAGATAAGGCATGATAGTATAAGGCCTGATTGAATTTTAATACTATCCAGCGTTTGGTACGGTATTGTATAAAATAATATATTGTATAAGATAATATCATCTAGTATTTGGTAACGCACTGTATAATACTATATATGATAAAAAAATATTTTTAATAAAAATATCCTTTAATAAAGAATTTATATAATTCTTCAAAAAATGTCATATGATATTAATTTTTATAAAAATTTATTGATTAGTGTGTCCAAAATATAAATTAATTTTTATAAAAATAAAAATATTCAATATTTAAAAATTAATGTATTGAAAAATTAATTTTTATTTTAATAGATTAATATTAAAATAATATTAATTTTTGAGAATTACATTGGTCAACGATGTTAATACATCAATCTCTTATCAGGCCTTATCCCTCACTTTTAGGCCGGATTAAGTTATACATCATTTTGATGTATTAAGGGATTATGCTGTATAAGCTTATACTATACGATGGTCACACCAAATAACTGAAAATGCCGTAACGTATAGTATAAGCTTATACTATCATGCCTTATACGTCACACCAAACAGACCCTAAGAGGTAGTAAGAAAAAGAGATAAATATAAACTCTCCCTTTTAATAATGATATTTTTCCCAATAATTTTATAACAATGATAAGAACATATTTTCTACCCTTTACCAAGCCTGAGATATTTCCTTTTTGAAAGACACGCAAAAATGTTAAATCATTGGTAATTATCTTTTGAGAATGGGAAATATTAATCTTATGTTACATGAGAGTAGTTCTCTCATATTATAGAGAGAATTCAAGTGGGGCCCACCATTAAAAAGCAAAAAAGAAAAGAAAGAAAGAAAAAGGGGGTACGATTTTTAAAGTGAGAGAAAATGAGATAACTATCTCATATAAAATAAGAGTAATATTTTCCTTTGAGAATTTTGGTACAAGGTGGTTGAGAACTATTTAGACATATCGTCCAAAGATCTCCTCAGAGATCACAACTGTCACATTTTCTTGTTCTTGTTCTTTTTCTTTGCTTTCTTTGATACAGCTAAAAATTGTAGCTTATCAACTATTTTATGTACTCAGGAAAATACATTGTATTCTTTATTTTCTAATGTTCTCTCTCTTAACCATGCTTTCATTTTGCTCTACTAAAGATTGGCTTCACCGTCGAATTAACTTTGTATACATACCCTCCTACCCTTGTCAGTAGGGGTGTAAATGGGTTAGACCGACCTACGGCCTAGCTTATATTAGGTCAGATTTGACTTATTACACATAGTAAAATAGAACGGCCTAGACTTTTAAAAAAATTTAATTAGAAAACAGGCCATAAATTTTTTTGTACATGTCGAGTAGACCGTCAAAACGAGTTGACACGACACGAATTTGACACAACACGAATACATCAACACTGACACGACACAAATTTTTTGCGGGTTGACACGACACGACACGAATAGCACGCAAAATAGGGGTCAAAATAGTAGTTGACAAAAAATATTAAAAAAATGGTTCAAAATTAAAAAGAATTTAAAAAATATTAATAAAAAAATAAAAAAAAAATATGGGTCGACACGAATACGACACGAATTTTTTACGTGTCATTTTTCCTAACACGAACACGACACGAATTTTTTTATGGGTCAACCCGAACACGAATTTTCGTGTCGTGTCACGGGTCGACCCACGTGTTATAACCTATATTGACACCCTTATGTCGGGCCTATAAGCCTACAGGCCGGCCTATATGATATTTTTTATTTTAAAAAATAAATAATTATTATTTTAGTAATTTTGAAATAAAGTAATATTATTTTAGTTATTCTTTTAATTGTTGAATATTTAATAGGTTTAAACAGGCTAACAGGCCTAGGCCAAGACTTTTATTTTTTAATATAGGCCAGGTCAAACTTGTAATTTGGGGCATACACAGACTAACAGGTCAGGCCAAGTCCAATATTTTAAACAGAGACTTAGTCTATTTAAGCCAAAGTCTAGCCTAGCTCAGCCTATTCACACCCCTACTTATGAGCATTTTGACAAACTCAAATTCAAATCTTCTTAGATCTTGAACAGGAAGAATAAAAACAATAGGTTAGGAATATGCTAGATTAATGTATGATTGGGAAGGTGAAACAAAGAAATATGGCAATATGGAAAATAAAATATTTTTATTTTTATGCCTTCGTATTTGGCAGAGGGAATAAAATAAGGTGTTTATAGCTCATTAATTAACTTTCTCTCTCAATTATTACATATATATAATAATTTCCTTTCAAGGTTTCAATTTCTTTTTTCGATTTTCATACTTTTAGTTATACCATGTTTAAGAGATTAGCAGCCATCTAAGGAGGGTATTAAGAAAATAATAATATTTATTGTTTATTTTGATTTCTAAAAATATTAATATTTTTGAAATTTTAAAAAATACTAAAATGCTATACCTTTATTTTCTTAACCCATAGTTAATTACACACATCAACAAATTTAAATTTAATCTATAAAAATGCGCTGTTGAAAATTTTATGAACATATGTTATCGTGATTCAGTACTTGGCCAAACTAGAGAATAGCAATTAAGGTTACATACTTTCTTTTTTCACAGTATCTTTCGTGTAGATTTACTTCATTTATAAAAGTTGTTTTGAAAAAGCAAAATATAAACTATTTAAATTTTTAATTTTTATAAAATATAAATACAGAGATAATTCATAAAAGTTAATTCTTTAGATTTTTTTAAACAGAAATTACCACGTCCATTTTATTTTCTGAAATGCAGGCTATTTCATGTATAACCCAAAAATAAATTCATAAAAATACTTTACTGAAATAATCAATTAGGATTATTAGTTGATACCAAAAAAAAGTTAGGATCATTATAAATTAATGACATTTAGGCCTAATCTTAAAAAAATCCCAATCTCTTATCCATTAACCATAATTGACCATATCCTCAATAAAAGGAAACATATTTCCAAAACCAAAAATAGACTTATAATAAATATTTTCAAATAAACATTGAAATATATTTTTTACTCTAACTTACCATCTCCCTTATGACACAAGTGCTTCGATATCCTTTGTAATAAAAAAAAATAGAAAATATTCAAAACAAATTATTTCATGAGAAAAACAATATGTGTGACCATTGTTGACGAATTCGGACCTCACTAAATATTATAATTTCAGCAATATTGATATTGAGTACAAAATTATTCATACGAATTTTGACGGATTAAAAACTAACCAATCATGGTACTTGGTAATTAAAATCTCTATTTAAATCTGTTTTTATGATTTTTTTTTAATTAAAATAATTTCATCAAAATTCCAATTACTTTTATATTTTTACGTTAAGATTTTATGTTTTACGATTTTTTTATTTTTTTTCGATTTTTAGTGCAAGTCTAAAAGCCGTAATCATATTAGTTGTATTATACATCGTTTAGAGCTGGTCACTCTTGATGCACATTGACTGTAAGTTAGAAGGATTCAAACACTTCATAAATTGTTTATCCATGTAGGCCCAATTGACGAATTTCTATAAACTCTCAATGATAAGGATTTAATGCATAATATCTTTGGCAAAATTAACATCTCTACAATTGGGCAAAATACTTTAGGAAAAAAAGTTAACATATATACATAATAGTAATAAGCCAAATCCATTATTAGACACTGCAATTAATACATTACCTTATAGGGTATTCTACATAATTAATAAGAATAAAGGTAGAATATTTTTCTTACCAAAAGTTTCTACTACCAATTTACTATCACTCTATTACCTTGGATCCCACTTTTTAGCAGACAATCTTAGAAAAAAATTTGGAAAAAAAAAACAGCTTTTAATGTACTCCCTAAAATACATAATTATATTATAATGATAATGAATTAGTAGTAGGAATAATTGATAATAGAAATATTTGATAATAAGAATATCATATCTCTTATTATAATCGTTTGAAGCAAGAGTTCCTCGTTGCTCTTTATCTTGGTGTTATAATCCAAGTAACAAAAACAAAAACACCCAGACACAGTATACCGGGAATTTGGGGTCTCCTATTTCCTGTGGTGGTAGCCAAATAAAAAAATGGCTAAGAGACCAATGGTGGAGTTTATTTTGCAGGTGACGAACCTAGTCTTTACCCTATGGGGTTTAAGCACCCTGGGTTATGGGTTAATTTGCTTCTTCAAGTGGAAGCAAAGCCTTTCAAAGGAGATTCGTGAGAGCAACACCAAACAAATGATTGCTCATCGCCTACTGCTTGCTATTGATTCGCTTAAACATTCTTCTGATTCACTTCCTAAGCCTTGGTAAGTGTTTTCGCCTTATATTCAAATTTAAAAGCCAGTGCTATTCTTGCTTCAAACTAGGGATGTTCATCAATATACCGAACCCAAAAATCGAAAACTGAATTAATCAAAAATCGAAAAAAAAAACGCAATATTTAATTGGATTGGATCGGTTTTTGGATTGTTTGGTGAAAATCGATCTAATCCAAACTGATCCAATTATTCCCCAACCTTACTATCTACCTATTTGGGTCTTTCTCCAATCATAGCTCAAAAATCATATAGCAAAATTTTAAATCCAAGACCCGTCATGTTGGAAAAAGTGGGTTGTGCTTGGTCTATGTTATGCTCTCTCTTTTTTTGGTAAAATACATAATATATTTTTATTACATATGTTATTATTGTACAACAGCTCCGCTATAGGATGAAGATTTGAGTTACTTCATATCTCAAGCAACCGTATTATAAATTTTTTGTTAAAAGTAAAAGATGATAATTTAACTTTTTGTTGTACAATTCTTTTAGATTACACAATAATCATCATACAAACTTTACAAAATCGATACATATAAAAGATATGTTATTTGTCAAATAATCAACATACAAATCTTAGCATTTTCAAAAAATCGAAAACCGATTCATTCCAAACCGAATAAAATTGGATTGGATTGGATCTGATCGGATCGGATTTGAAAAAAAATTCAAACCGAATAGATGATTATGATTAAACTGAAGGGATTGGATCAGATATTTTTACTTCCAAAACCGATCTAATCCAGACCGCGAACACCTCCTTTTTCAAAAATTAAATTTTTGGGCAGAGTAAAAATTTTTATTTTGGATAATTGATTCAATATTTACACATTTTTTAGATTAAATATCTGATATATTAAAAAACAATTTATAGGGCTTATAACGGGTATAGCACCCCACTCACTCCTCCTCTTCACCATTGTTAGATTTGCATACTGTACTAATGTTCAAATCTAAATTGTACATGGACAGCATGTAGTTACACATGTTACTTATTCAGATTTTTGGATTTTGTCAAGCACAAGCACTTAGCTAAGCAGAATATAATCTCTCCACATCATCATCAAACCTCAAAAATATGTGTTGCACAATATTCACATCGTATTTTTTTAAGAATATAATGTTTATATTTTTGCTGCAGAAAATTTTTTTATGTCACAAATACATAAAAGTGAGTTAGTCTCATTATAAAGAGAAAAAAAAAAGATTAGCGGAACTCACTCATTTTTATGTGAGAGTAACATAAAAAAAATTTCTACAACAAAGGCACAAATGTTTCCCCTTTTTTTAATCATTTGGATTAATTTCAGTAAATAATTTAATTTAGTAACATGTTTTAAAGCATTTGGATAATTTAGGGACATGTTAAGTGACAAAATTGTTTAATTAATATAAGAAAGTATTGAATTAAATCTAAAAATTTAAAAATCACAAGATACTTAGAATATAGAGTATTAGTTTCTCCTGTTATATAAAGAACAAATAACTTTTTCCTCTTTTGCAAAAACAAAGACATATGGGGCCATTAAGATAAGAAAAAAAACACATGGCACAATTTTTTATGCAAGAGGTATGTTTTTCTTCCTACCAGAGGAAAAACATACATACCCCATAGAATATTATCATCATTTTTCACATAATCAAAATCTAAATATGATTTTCACCAAAAACAAAATAAAAAAAAATCTACATATGATCGCATAAGTAACAAATAGAGGGGGGAGGGGGGAATAGAAATAAACAGTTGTTAATTCTTATTACAGTTTTTGTATACTTGTTTACATTGAAATTTTATTTTTATTTTTCTGCAGGTTTATCTATCTTTTAATAGGAATTGGTGCATTTCTCTTCATTATCTCTTGTATTGGATATGTCGGAACAGCATCAAGGAGCCCTTGTGGTTTACTTTCAGTATCCTCAAATTCAGGATTAAGATTCTTTAAAGTATATATCGTGACAAAATTTATATATAACCATTGATTAACAATTTTGATTATGATAAAATTAAAGTATATAAAAAAAATCTACAACCTTTTTAATGTGCATCCAATCTTATTATTTGTTCTTTTCATTAGTCTCTCCTTAAGATATTTTTAGTATTGTGTGTTCTTGGTTGTACTTGTCATAGTCGAGTTGGGGACTTCTGCTTTCATATTCTTTGAACACAACTGGAAAAAGGTTAGCATACTTTCACGAAGAAAGTTATATTTATACAACCTTTTTAATGTGCATCCAATCTTATTATTTGTTCTTTTCATTAGTCTCTCCTTAAGATATTTTTAGTATTGTGTGTTCTTGGTTGTACTTGTCATAGTCGAGTTGGGGACTTCTGCTTTCATATTCTTTGAACACAACTGGAAAAAGGTTAGCATACTTTCAGGAAGAAAGTTATATTTATAAATTTTTTGTTTATAAATTCTTACAAATTAGACTAAGTATGACTGGTCATAGTTCAATCAAAAGTGTATGACCGGTCATACTTAGTGTAATTTGTAAAAAAAGTTTGTAAACAGATCATTCCCCTACTTTTATTCTCTCTATTATCATAAAAATCATTTCCCAAATAACAATTAGTTTTTTAAACCACTACAAAATCTGCACAGGTTATACCAAAAGATAGAAGTGGTACTTTACAGAGAGTATATCATTTTCTACATGTGAATTGGAAAATCATCAGATGGGTTGCTCTAGGGGTCTTTATATTACAGGTAACGAGAGATTCAAAATCTATCAAAGAAAAAATGCAAAAAAATTTAATTGGTATTGAAATATTTCACAAAAATAAAATAAAAATTGTTTGTTGATTATTATTCAAATTTTCTTCTCTCTTTTATAAGGTAATAGCAATGGTTCTAGCAGTATACTTGCGATCAGTGTTCAAGCGTGCAAGGTATGATAACAGTGATGATGATGAGCATATTGTATATCTTCCTCGTGCTAGGGTCAAACCCAATTATAGGATGGTCACGCCCACCATTACTAGCACCCCATCAACCACAACCACTGCCAATGGTAGAGATCCAACAAAGCCCACTAAATTACAATGAGTTTGTTCGGATGGATGTACAAGCATTATGAACTATATTTCTGATAAATAATTCCTTGCTATTATAAATATTTTTTAGCAGGAAAAACATTGTTTATAGGGGGGCATAATATAGTCCTATGTTCCTATTTCTTGTGGACACTTTTTTATTTTAAGATTTAAATGAGATATTATATATGATTACAGAACATTAAATATATCAGAGTCGGGGTGCGAACTTGTCTAATAATGAGCATATTAATGGGAAATACTATTCTCAATTTACATGAGATAGTTATCTCATTTTTTCTCATTCGAAAATCGCATCCTTTTTTTTCTTTTTCTTTTTTGCTTTTTAATGGTGGGCTCCACTTAAACTATCTATTAATCCATTACTTTGAAGGATTATGTTCAAATAATATTACTTGAAGCCGTTGCTGGTGTTGCCTCCGGTGTTCTTGATGGATGCAAACATGTGAGGACATTCATTTGTAGGTGGATATGAGGGTGCGGTGTGGTTGAAATCATGAAGGGGGGAGATCAAGGAGTTCGTTACAATCTAGTCGTTTGACGGTTAAAATACTATGGACAGGATTTTTTATGAGTTGATTTTTTTTTTAAAGAATTTAAAAAAAAAAAAAATCAAAGTTATTTTGTGTTTAGATGCAATATTTAAAAGATGCTTTTAAGTAAAATAGTCATTTGAATGTTAAAATAAAAAAGCAATTTTTAAGTTAAGAACTTTAGTCCTTGTTCCTTCCAATTCAAATATTTTGATTTTTCCTACATTAAAAATGAACATTAAATTAATAAGCAAATCATACCGCAATGAAGATCTAAGACTTCGTATTTTATTCAACTTGAAATATATATACCTTGTCCTTATCTCCCTATTACTCTACAGATGCCAGTATATTGTTCTTCACTGGATCCCATCTAAGACCTGTCACTTCTTCAACCAACTTTGCCCTTAGCTTCCCACCACTCTTCAGGTGCCACTACAGTGTTCTTCACTGGATCCCCCGTCTGAGACCTGTCTCTTTTTTCAACCAACTTTGCCCACAGGCTGAATTCTTGTTTTATTGAATCTCATTTATTTTTTAATTATTTCTTGTCATAGTTCTTTCCAGTCCTCTTATCAAACTTGTTTATTAAGTTGTTCCACCCATCTTTATTAAAATGAGTGTGAGGCCTATTACTATCTTTAATCTCTTCAACACACATTTTTAAGAAAGTTTCAGTGTTGATATGAGTCCACCTAGAGTCGGCAAAACGGGCTCAACTCGGCGGACCAACTCACCCCACCAGCTAAACTGGGCGAGGCGAGCTAAGTTTTTCAACCCATTTCAAAAGCGGGGCGGGCCCATTTTTTGGCGGGTTGATGGCGGACATAGGCGAGTTAGTGTAAAATAGGTTCGGACTGGCGGGCCGAGTTTTTCACCCACTTTTAAAAGCGGGACGGCACGGGCTAACTCATTTTTTGGCGGGTTGATGGTGGAGCGGGACGGGGTGGGCTGCCCACTTTACCACCTCTAAGTCTACCTAGCCTTCCCATGATTGTCACTAACATTCTCTGGTTGAGCTAACTTTGATGTTATTCTAAGAATAAAAATATTAAAGGTGTTACTGATATTAATATATATTTCAAAGTGACCTGAAGATAGTTTTGATAGCAAACAAAACAAAATAAAATGCATGTTAGTGAATGCTACTCTGCATAATGTGAATCTACCATAAAAAAATCCAGACCAATAGTTTGAGAAATTTTCAGCAAGTAATCTTATATAAAACCTTATATGGGAGACAGAGAAAACTTTTCAAGCAAGTGAAAAAATAAAAAAGATTGATTAAGCATATGGTCAAACAACAAAGAATGTGATTCACAAAGATCGATTTAAACACTGAACATATTGGGCTTGTTTGTGTTTTTTCATGAGACAAAATACAGTTGGCTTAAAGATTAAGCAGTCAACCAATGCCCACTGGAAGTCAATGATGATCAATAATGAGAATACAAGACTACTGCAATACGGTCCACATTTCAATATTTCATTCTGGCATCAGTTAAAAATTTATTTTCCTAAAATGTTCTGCTAAGTCACTACTCAAGAAACAAAATTTTAGAGCTCCTAGATGAATCCCCATGTAAACTGCAACATGGTAATGAGTATTTCACACAGCCAAGAGAAAAAAAAGGGGAGACATGTACAAAGAAAAGTGAAAACTTTTTTCTTCAACAATGGCTTTCAGAATTAAATATACCTCGTACCCATTCTTGCAAACTTCAATACCTCACAAGGAAGCATAATAAACTTGTTGATGATAAAAAGAAATTTTATAAGAACCTAGTTGCTACTTGTTGGCCTTGCTAAAGAGTATGCAAGTTATGCGCAAGTATACGCAGCCACAAGTAATTTAGGGTGTTTTTGAAACCCCAGTTATCGTTCCCACAAGAATCTTTGGTGTTTTTGACTTGACTAAAATTTGTAATTGCTTAAAACTGAATTCCTAACTAAAAAAAAACTATAATTATGTTTGATAAACAGAAAATAAAATAAGCAAACAAAAGATTAAAAGTTCAATTGGGGATTTCTAATTTAAATTTGAAAACAATTTCTTAATCCACAAAATGAAAGAAATAAAATAAATTGAGAAAATTATTTTTGGACTTTTCAAATTGGTTATGTTTTTGCAAGGATTACTAAAAAATGTAACTGAATTAAAACAATCAGAATTGACAAAGTTTTAAGAAGTCTAATTATAAAAACTAGGTTGAGTTCTGATTCCTTCCCCACACCTCCTAGTGTCTAATTGCTTAACAAAATTCTATCACAATTGTTTTTCAATTGGCAGACTATTGTGGATTTTTAATACCTTAAAAATCTTTTTCCCTTTTGTTCTCACACAACTTATCCCTAAGCAGGTGAGACTAAGAGCTTGAAGCTTAAGTCCTTTTGACCACATGGAGGAGTAAAATCATCTCTGAATTACTCCCTCAAATAATCTCTTATTTGAGTCCATGAACTCAACTCATTTTCCAGAGAAATTTATTTCCAATAAATTCCCCCTAAACAAGCCTATTTCATAAGGCCGAAATGAAATAAAATTTGAACAGTTAAATCAGAGTTGAACTAAAGAAATTAAACATTCATTCCAGAAAAGCAATCAACACCAGTCACTGTGGTTGGGGTCTAAGTCACCCAACCCTTAGAAAATTTAGCTCAAATCCTAAGGACTGAGCTCAACTACAGGAATGAAAGGAAATACAAAAAGAGATGAAAATAAACAGAAAGCTAAAACCACACTGCAAGTACTATCCACTAAGATAGCCTCGACACTGTGCTCAAAACTAAACAAAATAAACTAAGTTCTTACAATACCAGAAACGCAAAAACAAAATAACAACAGAAATGAAGAAGAAGAAAAATACATAAGAAGGTCTGAGAGTTTCTGTATTTTTTTGCCCAAGCTCCTATTTATAACAACTCTCCTACATATGCATGGGCCTGAGCTACTCTATCAGCATCGTCCACGTGTGTTCCCTTTTCACTAATCGTGTGATCGTTCTTACGAAATCACCCCCACGGTTTGCAGCCCAAAAAATGCTAGCACACCACTTTTTGTAACAACCTCACCTCAACATAGCATATATGATTTTCTTTTCTCGCTTTGCTGATTTGTGAATGGTTTGGGTTAAGTTATGGGTTAGGAAAAATGAGTGGGTGAAAGATGGCTTAATGGTAGAGGGATTTAATGGAATCAAGATCAGGTGTACTGATGGTTAGAAGCAATGTGTGGATTTGGCTGTGATTTGGTGTGACTGGTTCAAACGGTGAGTTGAAGTGAGAAGGGGTTATAGGGTTTGATGACTTAGGAGGCTGTGGATTGAAAATGAGCCACGCACGATAGATGTCCCTTCTTTTTTATCTTTTTTTTTGTTTCTTACACGTTTTCCCTTCAGAAGGTTAATAGGATGGGCTGAATGTTGCTTGTCTTTTTATTTTGGGCTCTAACCTTTGCATTTTGGGCTTTCAATAGAACTAAAATAATAAAAGGAGGCGATTAGTCATTCTTGTTAAAATGTGCTAGATAATAAATATTAAAGGGTTCAAAGATTAATAAATCAATTAAAAACTAGTCACCCAATAACATTTAACATCTCCTTTCAGAGACTCATCACTATCAATAGAAACTAGTAAAGATTACAATCCGAAATTTCACCCAAATAATAAATATATAAAGCTAGATTGGTATGTAAACCAAAAGAACTTAGATCAATATAAAAAATAACAAATATAACGACTGCAACAAATAGTTTAACATAATTTGACAATATTAAATGCTGCCACATTACATATCCCTTTGGGTCATTTTATCAAACAACCAAAAAGAAAGATAAGCAACATGGTTGTCAACAAATCAAATTGAATACCCTTGTTCCTTCCACAGTTTGATCTTTAAATATCTCAAGAGGAAAAGAAAAAGGACCACTACCACAAATTTCAACTATGAAACAAACATGTGAAACAACTCTACCAGCGTATGATAACCCTATTTTTCTAATTTCAAAATTAGAGGATTATTATGAAAACCTTTGAGTCATAAATGGAATAAGGATGAAATTCTAAGAATTTTGATATCCATATTGTTGGTATTTTAAACAGGTGAATTTATGCCTGTTAATTTTGATTACTGATGTAGCAATAGACAATAAAATAACCCTAACCAGGTGAATCTAAATTAGAGAGTTATTCTAAGAATATCAGTATCATAGATGAGTTTATAATTCAATTCTGTAAAGATTGACAAACATATTGTGGGTATTATGAAAAAATGAGTTTTGACATAATAGTTTGTACTGCTGAGGTAGTAACAGGTATCTGACTAACCATAATCAAGAAATCTGAGATAGAGGATTATTCTAAGGATATTATTATCATAAATGATAAGAGGATTTGATTTTGTGAATTATGATACCCATATTAGGGTATTTTGATAAAATCACTGTTACCGGATAATTTG